AATCTTTCCTCTTTTACGCAGATGTCGACAGTGAAACAGCAGTAAAACAAGGACCATACTGGCCATCTGCATCTTCTTGTTTGTCTGCGATCCAGCATGTTCACTAAAGGTTCAGGTCTCCTACAGACCACAATTGGTCTTTTGTAGTCTCAAAAGCACGAGAACTCCCTCAACCAAGGTGTTCTCGCATACGAGTAACAAGGAACCACAAGAAAACATGTTGCATATCAAAATCATCAACAAGTCACATCACAACAAAGAGGAAGAAAGCTAGGATTTACAACTCCTTCTGCAAAGATTCTCAATCAAACCAAGATGTGCATTCACAGACAACCTCAGGTATATGTGTCCAGTGATACACGTATATTCCTTTAAAAATACATGGTAAAGCTACATATTTTAGCTGAAGTGATATGAGAAGACTTTAGAATTTTAATTTCTAAGTACATGTTCTTTAAAGACTTTCTTTAAAGACTTTCTTTAGTTTCATGAAACAAGAGCTACTGTTTTGACTGTTTATTTTTTAGCATAAAAAATAAAAGCTTCAAAAAATGTCTTTTTGAAGCTTTAACGGCTTCAAAAAGACATTAAGTTAGAAATATTCTCTTTAAATGTTTTTGCTTCAATAAACTTTTGAAATTGTTTGTACTTTTTGTGAAATGTGTTTAGAATTCAGAAAAATTAAAATCTAAACAGGAAATTTTGGATTCCATAAATAAATCAGCTGTCATAAAGCTTTATGCAAGGTACAGATGTAACATACAAATATCTAAAGGTGCCTTTAGATTCAGTTTATATTTAATCTGTATTTATGATGCATTCATGTCATTCAATTATTTAAATCATTCGCATTTCAGCATCCGAGTATTGTGTTCACCAGCACAGACTCACACAATAAAGTCTTTTTTGACACCACATCCTGATCACATATTAAACTAACCTTGAAATTTGTAGTTAATTCATAAACTACAGAAGAACATGAAGCCCAGCCATTATGTAAATCATTTTCAAGAGCCTTACTGGAAATGCAGTCAACGTGATCATCTGATATGATCTCATCTAAAAACAAAATTAGAATTTGTATTGTTCCAGTAGTTCCAGTGAAACAGTGACTAAATATTTCTCAGGAACAGACAAACATCACAACAGTTCAGCCTCTCATTGTTGTATACTAAGTAGATTACATTCCCTCAGGGATTGCTGAAATGTCCTGTTAATTCCTTTTTTCTTACGTTTAGGTTGTTTCTCCAGCGTCATGTTGACGTTGTTAACAGAGCTCCCCAGACTATTGTAGGCTTCCACAGTCACAATGTGGAGCTCCTGATTCCACTCAAAGCTGTAGGAGGACACCATATCGATCTGCCTCCTCAGCACAGATCCATTCGACGCCTGGTGCTGGACAATAAATCCATCCACACAGTAGGTATTCCAATTTGCTGAGAAAGACTGGAAAACAAAGTAAAAGATTCATTCTGCTGCTCACTATTACACTCTAATCAATATTTTAATGAGAAGCTCAAACATCTGAGGCCTCAAACTTTCTGACCTTGTCGATGATTAGCAATACCTTCATAGGCAAAACTATGTGCAGCAACGTTCTCCAATCCTACAGTCGTAAAATCAACAATTGTGGCCTTTTTGGCCTAAACAACAGAGATGTTTGATAAAACTATACCAGGCAGGAAAGCTAGGGTTAGGGTAGGGTTATAGGGTTATAGGTAGGGTTACCTGTGATTCCAGAAAATGATTGCCCAATAATAATGAGGGAGGGGTTTTGAGATCCATTTACAAACAAAAGAATAAAAAAGATTATTCAAATGTTGAAAAAAAAATGTAAGCCTTTCTTCTTACTATGTGAGCCAAATTTAGAAAGTAAAACGGCAAAGCTCACAATAAGGTTAATATCAGGTTTTATACATAAACAATCAAGCCCCTTTATTTTAAACTATGCTTTTAATTTTCCCCAAATCATTGCTCAAATCTCTTCTGGTCTAGTCTTAAGCCAGTATTGTATACCATCCTGTCTCATGAGCTGAATGCATCCCATTCTGTATGCTTTGTTTACCTCAAACAGCAGAGTGATGTTGGACTGGTTTCTGTCTGGGTCATCTTGACGTATTCTCCAGAAATCAGGCCCACGTTCAGGAGCTGAGGAAGAGAAGCAGCAGCCTAACATGAGACACTTTTTACTTTAGATGCACCAAGAAGTTAGACTGGAATTGGACTTTTCCAGTCACTGGCAAGCTGTCTCTCCACTCTCAACCAGACTCTGACATTCATTAAAAAATGAGAACATCAATAGCCAGGTCGCATTTCTTAGAATAATCTTATTGAATAAAAAGTTATTAGCCAGAAAGGTCTTCTTCTCTCTTGCAAAATCTCTCCTTACCCTGTGGGAGGTCCGAAACTCTGGTTCTCTCAGGGTTAGAATGTGGTCAGAGAGTTTATTGATTATGCAGTGGGAAGATTGGTGCCGAAAGGCGGAATACAAAAGTTTGAATAGAGATCTATTCTCTATTTGTCATACATAGAGAAGACAGGGCAGAGAATGCACTTGGGGACTAAAAAAGGAAGTATGAGGGGACTAGAGATCCAGGATCGAGAACACAACAGCAAACTTGATCTGACGAGGGGCAAGCAGAAATCAAAGTTGAAAGAGACTGGGTCTCTTTCAACCCATGACAGAGTTTTCCATTACTCTGTCATGGAAATACTGTTGGAACGACCTTGGCAAGGTAAATAAGACAATCTGATACTTGAGGAAAGACTGATGAGGGTATAAACACTAATGGAAAGGGTGACTCATAATGAGATGATTGAGCCCAGCCGAGTTACACTGCACATCACAAACCATAACTGTTTTAATTCTGGATGTGGAGATGTTGGCTGACCATTGGAAACCTCACAGGTAAAGTAAACATGCTTTGTAACAAAACAACAGTTAGTGCACTAATCATTCTGAATGGTAATATAAGAGGCTAAGGACATTTTAAACAGGACAGGAAACACAGATTCCTGTCAAATTCTCTTAAGTATAACAACATTTGGAGCCTGTGTATGACCTTCGCCACAGCTTTCCGACTGTGGATTTAATTATGGAGTTTTTAAGTGTCTGACCTGCATAGAGTAGGAACACACAAACTGAAACTTAGAGTTACACCTTACTCTTAGAAAACAATTGAATTTTGTTTTATGCCACACTGTTTTTTCCAGTTGGGCAAAAAAAAAGTGAAGAAAAAAAGTTACAGAGCTATAATTAGGCTTTAAAAATGAGTAAATTAGAAATACAGTAGTTTCTGGAGGACTTTACTGTGTTTGTAGATTTTCTGTTTATCCAGAAAATAAAGATACTCTTGTTGCTTCTGGAGAATCGCCTACAATAGCAATAGCAGACCAGATGTTTACAAACCTGATCAAAATATCTGATTGCAGTTTTTGTCTCTTTTTGTTGTTCAGTCCTTTGCTTGTGCTGATTAATTTGAATCCTGTTTTATCTTCAAATGCTATTATATAAAACGGAAATGTTACGTAGAGTTGAGTTCAGCAGTGAAGCGGGTTTACCTCTGCTGTTTTGAGCGGTGGAGTGGACAGACTCACTCCATTCACTCCAGTATCCGATCCCACTGGTGTGCATGCAGCGTACTTGAACCACGTAGATCTGGCACATGTCTGGTACCTCAACCTCGGCCCAGGTAACCCACACAGGCTTCTCAAACTGCACATATTTATATAAATATATATATTTTCATCGGGGAAAACCAGAAACATTTCTAACAACTGGAAAAGGTGCTTGCTCATTGATTAAATTTATGTCAGTTAAACAGGTTATACAAATCAGTACCAAAAGGATTTTTGTACAATCCCACAAAGATCCATCATGTCTTTCTGAGCTGTAAGTCTGCGGACTGACTGCTGGACAAACAAAACGTAATTGCTTTAGCTGCTCTGGTCTTAGGAATGAAATTTTCAATTGAAAGTTGTCATCTGGTTTTTCTGTCTACGTACTCCTTCTGTTTCCCAAAGGTATGAGAGGAAATGAGTGTAAATCAGGAAGAGAGCACAATTCATGGCATGTGTCCAATTTCCAGGAAGAATTTTCAATCACTTAACTGGAAAGAGGTTTCATCAAAATGATGGTGACAAATAACTGAAGAACGCCAAAGCATTATGCTTTGTCATTTGATAAAATTTAGGGATTATTTAATACTTTAGTTTATTTTTTTTTCCAAGCTTTTGGTTGGATCTAAAATTTGCTTCCACAGCAAAAAAGGGGTAACAAACTTTTTCCAATCAGGTGTCTCTAACCACCTGATTATTATTACTTTAATAATAATACATTTTTAAGAACTGTAAACAGCAAGACTCCATATCAAATATTATGCAGAGGTTTTGTTGGTGAAACAGTATGAAAAGCTCACCTTCCATTTCTCTAAAACGTCGAGTAAGTAGTACCGAAACTGACACTGCAGGCCTTCGACCGGCAGAGAAGGCTGTTTCCAAGTTACCCTCAGGATCCCTCCGCTCCGGCTCACCGCCGTCACATCAGTGGGAGGGTGAGGTTTTACTGCAGATCGAGTGGGAAGAAGCACACAGATACTCAATCTTGTAAAACTGAAAAAAAAAAATCATAAATTTATATTGTAGGATAAGCAGAACAAATTATCAAATAAAACCAGCTTTGCATAAAATCAAAGTGAAAATGTAAAACCATTAAGCTATTTATGTTCATTTTACAATGGAAATTTTATAGCTCAAACAGGTGTTTTCATTCATATTTTTCATGTCAAAATGCCATGCCTTTCTTTATTTAAAATTTTGAAGTGCTTAGTAATTTTAATTTGCCAATTTAATAGGCACTGATGGATGCGTTTCATATTCAGCTCCTCCTTTTTGCTGGTTTGGCAATTTGTTGCTGAGAGCAAACTGCTGTAATAGCTTTCAGTGTTTTATCATTCCACATATTCCAAAAAAACTCAAATTATAACTAAAATGTTGCTAAAATGTTGTGATGATGTAAAATGTTTCATTATTACAAGCTCACAACTTTACAATGATATTGAATAGGCCTTTACAAAATACAGATTTCAACACTTCTCCCTTACCATGATTTATGGGTGATACATAAACAGGTTTGCACCTGATGACACCTAGGCGGGTATGCAATTCAAGCCACAGTTTGTAGCAATTCATCTTCAAAGGGTGGAATGTGCAGACTTTCTCTGTAGTTTTGATTGGCATGCATTCATGTCCCATCTCACCAACGTCCTCGCCACCTCTCACCCTTTCCTCCATCTCGTCACATGACATCTCGGCACTCCTGTGCAATAAACAAAGACACACAACAGAGAAATAAGGCTTAACTTTATTTCATGCAGCCTAGTGATCTGATTTTATTTATAAGCAAACTTTATTAGTACAAGAGCAGCAAGATGGACTGCAAGTGACACCAGTGCAATGGGCCAGAGGTGTGACTGTTAACAGTTAGCTGTGCTAACCAGCTGACTATGGCATGATGAAAGGATTGTAATTTGACAGATTAAAAGCCTCTCTGCGCTGGCTTGTATCATGAGAAGGTCACCTCATTTGCAGGCAAATTTGAAGTGTGAACTTTGAAAGGTTGAATTTTACGCTTAAATTTTTGCAGGAAATTTCAAAGTAAAATAATATATTTGCATGGGATAAAAATTATGTGCTATAAATTCTATGGCTAAAAAATAGTCTGATTCCAATTAGACTATTTATTCCACATGTGGTGGTGGATCAACATCTAGGGTGCCAAACAGGTTAGGACTGCCTCTGTCCACCACTGCCACTTGTAAAAACAAAGGTCACTGCAAAGAACATGGAGTGTTTTAAAATGCATCAGTACTTGGACCGGAATTTGACTATTTCCCACTCTTTGTTCTCCCATCTGCAGGTCATAGTGTCAATGTCACCGTTGGTTACACACGTGATGCTGATGAATCCTCCTGAAACACACAACAGCAGATTAATTCACAGACAAATGTGCTGCAATTAGATTAATTAGGTTGTCCAACTACCAAATGCTTTCTTTGTGCTTCTGCAGATCACTGCCTTCTAGTAACAGGTTACTAGCAGTGTCCAAAGTCAGTCCTTAAGGGCCTCTATCCTGCATGTTTCAGTTCTTTCTCTGGTTAAACATCTGAATCAAATGATGTTTCATTAGCAGACCTCTGTGAACTTTATCACATGATGAGAAGGACCATTTAAGTCAGCTGTACTGGAGCAGAGACACATCTAAGGTCATTAACCCTAACTTTTTGAAGACTGGAACAAGACACCCATGGTTTAGGGTCAATAAGTAAATATAATTCAGTTCAGCTTGTTATCGCGGTAACAAAACTCACCTTCCACATAGATCTTGCTATAAGGAATATTCCACTCCTGTGTGCAGGTCAGCAGGTCAGACAACCCAGTTTCTGAAGCTGTGAATGTGATCTGGCTGACCTATGTTAGATTTAAAATATGTAAAACAATAAATGTCCAGAGAGATGCATGTCATGTCTAGTCTGTGTTGTTTAAATAGCAAAAAACAAATAAATAAATCCAACCCTTAAAGAATTTGATGGAGTGCTTTGTCTTACCCGCTGGTTGACAGGATGATACAAACTGGGATCAAGCGGCACCCTTCGGTTGAGGGACCACATGGCCGTATTTGCGTTGGCGCTCTGGCCGTTTAGCACACAATAAACCGTTACATTATCGCCGGCTCGCGCCACTACCATTTGAGGGATGTAGCTCACTTCTGCACACAGGGAAACATGTGAAATATATTTTAAGCTTTTTATACATGAAATTTTGCCCTGAAAATGTGAACTAATACAAGATGCAATAAGGATTAATTGGTGAATTCAAGAACTACATAGGTTAGAGAACTTTTTTAAAGGTTTTATTGGTTCTAGTGGCCTTTATTTGATAGTGAATTGACAGGAAAGTGGCTAATGAGAGAAGGGGGAGGACATGCGACAACGGACACCAGGCCGGGAATCAAACCTGCAACAACCACGTCAAGAACTAAGGCCTCCATATGTGGGTTGTGCTTAACCCCTGTGCCACCACATCACCCCAGAGAACTTTTGACAAATGTCAGGACACTTTATAAGAAAGGCAAAGGGTCAAATTAACTCCAAATGCATGAGATTCAGTTACATCCAGTTGATAACATAAGAGCTTAATTCGCTCATATATCCTGTCAGTGGTTCTAGTGGGAACAAACTGAGCTTCTGCAGTCGTTGTTGTAAGGATGAACAGAGTTTGGGGAGGACTTGCTGTAATACGATCCCAGACCAGTTTTTTAAAACACTTCATCGCCTCTGATTTGTAGTCGTTGAATCCAGAAATGTTTAGTTTCTTAGGTAAGGGAACAGTGTGGGATTTCAGGCATTACTCATGCCTGAAATGTAGACCATTGACCTTGAAGGCCACTGACATGGCCTTCAAGGTAGACCTCATCTCATGCTCTCCTACAACGAGGGTCCAGTTGCTGTGGGTTGTTCGATGTTGTGTAGCCTTTGTTAGCTTTTCCTCAGAAAAAGTTAAAGAAGATGTTCAGCGTAGGCAGGCTGCAGCTGCTAGGTTGGCCTGGTAATTGGTGAAGTACTGGATTCCCTGCCACACCTGCCTGTGGTTGTTGTTCTATAGGCAACTGATACTGATCTGCCATCACATTGTCAGACTTCTGTTTTGTACTGAATGAGACTTATGATTTGCATGAAACACCTGTTGTTTGTGTTGATGTTCTTTAAGTCTTGTCAAACATTTGTTGAGCCAAGTGGCAGTAAACATGAAATAATGATGCAAAGCATAACTCTGTTGCACAGCAACTCAGCATGGGGTGCATAGAGTTCTGTGTCTACATGAAACAAGTTCATTTACTGCACTGAAGCACAAGGCAGTAGTTTTCCTCTAGTTAAAACGTATACAGTACTGGTGTGTTTTATGTTTATGGCTCTTGAGCCATTGCGTTAAACAGTTGCATTCACCATTTTACCTACCTGTCTCCACTTGCAGTAATTCAATTGATTGCACAACATCAACCAGGTATGTGCACCGCAACATTGATGCAACATAAATACAAATGCCAAGATAGATCTATTATACATGGTGTAGAATGCTTGATACTGTGAAATGCTTTTGAATGATTTAAATCTTTCTTAAAATGCTCCAGGTGATAATCAATAGTTCAGAAATTACATAATAAATGATGACATATGGTCAGTTGATGCATTTTGACTCCTTCTCTTGGACATCAACATCCCCAGAAACTGTTGGACCCCATCATTTTTTTTTTTTTTTTAGTTTTAAAAAGCAAGTTCAAGTCACACCAAAAGCCCTTAGTCTCTTGCCTGTACCTAAAGGTTATTTCTTTAAATGACAAAAACAGAATTGGAAACAAAGTGCAGGCATTTCAGACCCCAACAGTCAGAATTACTAGTTTTGGTTCCAACATAACTCCAAAAGTTCAAGGAGTATGAATGCTTAAAGAAAAAAATATATATAAAAAATATTTTAAAATGAAACTAATCTACAGAAAAAAACTAGCAGTCCTCACTGTTCAGGGTGATATAGTAGGGGTCACTCCAGTCGCTCCACAGCTGAGTTTGGGTGGTGCAGCGAACCTGGATGGCGTATTTCAGTAAGGGTTTCAAATCCACTGACACATTGGGCTTTTCAAGTGCAGACACCACCTGGAAAAAAGTAGAGAGGATGATCACGGATATACATCCATGTAAAACTAGATTTCACCAAATGACTACCCACCTGCCAGTTTTTATGGGTGTTCTTGTTGGTATTTTCGTGGGAATATCGGATTTCATAGGCTAGCAAATCATCACTAAAGTCTAATGGCTCTTTCCAGCTGACAATGAGATCTCCCTCCACAGTCTGAACGTGTGACAGGTTGAATGGAGGACTTGGTTTCACTGTAAATAAATACATAAATAAACAAATAACATATAAAGAACATAATGTTGAAAACTCTATGAAAGAGTGTCTGTACACAGATGTCATAATTGTTGCCAACTTACATTTATAATTATATTTGACAATATAGAAAAAAAGAACAAGAGCATTAAATTTTCTTTTAAGATTTGAAAAGCAGAATAAAGTATAAAAACACTGAATAATCTCTACTAATTACAGGTGTTTATGGTTATTCATGCACAGTGAAAAATATCTTATTTGTAGTAAAAGTGGTCCTTGTAAAATAAAGATGAAAGCATCTGTAAAGAATGTAGTTTTATCTAAAATTTAAGTAATGTAGGTTACAGTTAATTATGTTTAGTTAAAAGATGGTTCTGAAAATGTAAATATAAAGAAAAAGTCAGAAGCCTAGAAAACAATAATGCTGAAGCAATACACAAATATGTTTTACGCAAGGCTTGGTGAACTTTGCATCAATTCAAATCTTTAAATGTTGATGTATAGTTATGTAGGGCTAGATAAAGTCAAACAAGTGCCGTTTTGAAATCCAAGCAAAAATGCTGGCAGCATCCTATACTGCTGTGCTAACAGTAAAGACCTGCTATTATCTTTTAGCGTTTAGAATCAGTGCACGCACGCTAAACACAGTGCTTTGAATAAACAAAATAACGAGGCCGAATAATTCAGCATCACATTATTCAAAGGTTAGGTTGGAACTTGGAGAACAACAAGTGCCTCGTATTTCCACACTCACAGTTCTGCGTACGCTGACATAAATAAATAAAAATCTCATAGTCACACAGAGAAGACGTGCACAACATCAATAATATTCAAACATTCAACAGAAAAAACATTGCTGAATACTGCATTGACATTATCAATTACATTTAAATCAACATATTCCTGACACCTTGCTATTAAACATAGCCTCACCCCAATATAAAGTTTTTTTCGCCTTAACACATATAGTCCTATTCAAAGCCTAAACTACTTTTCACAGTATATATTTGCTGCTTATATTTATTTAATTTGTTTTTCCCCATATTTTTTATACATTTTTAGTTGATTGTAAAGGATAGTTGTCACATTCATAGTAAAAAATGTTTCACATCAAAAAAACCTAGCAATAAATTGTTGCTAAGTATCTACATTTCAGACTCACTGTATATCGACATGGACCTTGAGCTTAACACATAGCTAGTGTGTCTTCTCCAGACAACTCAAACATTAGTGATGGGAAAGCCCTTTTCCACCCAACATGTTCATTTTTATATGGAATCTTAGTAGATGTGATATTATTGCCTTCTCAAATGCAGGATCATTCAGCTCCACGAGACTTATTAAACATTTCCTTGTCCCTCATATTCTAATAATCTTAATGTCTCAGAATCTGCATGCTGTGAGCTATGCAGCAGTTGTTTGTCTCATTTATTCTGCTGTAGTAATAGCTAATTCAACAGGCTTTTCATAAGGCACAGGGAAAAAACAATAATCACTCACGCATAGGCCTAAGCTAAGCATTTGTTTCCATGACAACATTTCACATATATTTAAAAGGCATGATGGGGGTTTTCAGCAGAGGGCATGTTGATACAAACAAAAGTGGTAAAATGGTGGGAGTGAGAAATGTGTTTTGTTTACTGATGGTAATATTCTGCACTTTAATCAAGTGATATTTATTAGAAAGCTGAAGACAAGAATTGTCACAGACAAAAAGAAGAAGTAGTCAAAGATCACAGCGGCAGTAAAATACACACACCCAGCATTAGGTCTGCAAAACATTAGCAAAACATGCAATATGCAATACTGAAAGCAAAGTATCCCAACTTGTTCAAAAACATACAGACATGCCATTCTTCTTTTTATAGGTAAAGATATCCAGATTGAGATAGACAGCAGCACCTGGATGGGTAGACATCCAGATTTTTTTTAAATTCTCAATCTAGTTTACTGCAGCTGCAAATACTTAAGTTATAAAGTAGAAAGATGAAGGTTGTATTGTGATACTCAGTCCAGACTGAATTAGTGTTTGGCGCATCAACTACCTATAAGGTAGTTAGTTGACTGTTGAACTAAGACTTGCTGCTTTCGTCAGTGGTATGTCAGGTTTAACAAAATGCACAACTTTGGTTTATTTATCAAAAAAA